GTGGTATTAATGCAAACCGAAGTCAATTGGCTTGTACACTTTTCCGAGACTCTTAGAACAAGACTTCCTAGCTGAACACCCGTGTCGGGGGTTGCTTAGTAAGAAACCATTGCAAACATAGAGGGTCTTGCCTGGAACGATTTCAAAATATCTGCAAGAATGAAGGCAGTTCTTTTTTTTTTTCTTTTCGATTCAACAGGTTCAGCTGCAGAAGTGGCACAATTGTGTGCGTTTTCAGTTCGGGAGTCATAACGGGGACCATATTCAGCGTAGAACGGCAAAATTGAAAAACACAAATTGAAAAACAAAGTGGTATAAAAAGTTAGGTCAAATAATAATTCTGGATCAGGACGAACGATATGGGCGAAAATAGCTGGCACGGGATCGAAGACCTCGAGAAGCTAGCAAGACACCTTCCAGGCCAGCAAATATGACAACCAAGCTTTATAAAAAGCCTGGTCCGATCATTCTGACCAGGCGGATTTAGAATTCCGAGGTAATTCTTGTTTCCGCCGCAGTGCCATCTATCGGGCGCAGACCACAACTAGCGCAGGGCAATGCGCGCAAAATTTGACCCGAGCCGAGCCAGACGGGAGCCGAAGGCGCCGGAGGTCTCGCTAGAGCGAACTTTCAGTAGTGAACAGAAAAAATTAAAGCGAGAGAAGAGCGACGCGATCCGACAAACAAAATATGGAGGGAGAGCGAAATCAGGAGGAAAAAAAAAAACGGCGTTTCATCTCACTAAAGCCATGCAGCACATTAGATGCTAGAGGGGCTGACGTCAGCCAATGAAGAGGGAAAGTAGGTGTACTGCTTCCCGCTATGCATCTGCGTCGTCTGCTACATAGAGTCGCAAGCAGACGATGCAATGCGCGCAAACTCGCTCGCAATGCACTTTGGACGAATGTTGTTGATCACCGGAACTGGGAGAGGAGCAAGAAAAGAACTAATATCTGTGCGATAACCAATAAACAGTCAGCATCGACAAAATGCGACACCATACTCTTCTTAACTGCTCCACTGCTGCATCCATAGAACGCGAATGAATGCACGGGCACCGTTTCATGGTCACGTCAAGTTGCTTAAACCAAGCCACAAGAAAATCATATGTTCGTCTTCAAGCTACACAACATGGAAAAAGACTAGAACGTTTAACTTGGTTTGTGCGAACGTGTCTACTTTGAAAGTGACGAGGTTTGCGAACTACGTTCCGTTGTGCGTTTATTAAAGGGGCTCCTCCTGTTCGTAGCTTCTACAACGCTGCACGGTTTTAAGCGGCAGAGCATGCAGGAGAGAGGTACAGAGGAGGGGGTGGCATCGCCGACTGGATAGAGAGGTGAAAGAAGGTAGCTTCGGCGCATGCGCTGCTGGAGCAAGGCGGCGGCCCATCTGCCGAGCGATGGAAAGAGCGCGCACGTGACTCACCTCCGGTTGGCGCCGGTAGCGCCACCTCAGCGAGTTGCGGACGACACTGGAGTCCGCGCAATGGGTGGCGAGATATCGACAGAACGCCGTTCGTCCTGTCAAGAGTAACGCACGCACGAGCGGCCCGTGAACTTTTTGCCGCTGGCGACGCAAGAGCGTTACATCCATCTGCTTTTATCCCGGCGTTGGCGAAACGATACAACTCCATACAACGTCCCTATTTTTTTATACATGACATCTAACGAAATGAAGCCAAAAGTCTCAAAAATTACCCAAATCACGCTGGCTTTTGTGTCGTGCAAAGCACCCGGTGACCTTCGAATGGTTACAGTCTTCATTCAGAACAAAAGGTCATTCGCATTAAAACTTCAATATTAAGACTAAACCCATTTTATCACAGATCCACATGAACCTATGCTCACTTCACTCCATACAACGTCCCTATTTTTTTATACATGACATCTAACGAAATGAAGCCAAAAGTCTCAAAAATTACCCAAATCACGCTGGCTTTTGTGTCGTGCGAAGCACCCGATGACCTTCGAATGGTTAGAGTCTTCATTCAGAACAAAAGGTCATTCGCATTAAAACTTCAATATTAAGACTAAACCCATTTTATCACAGATCCACATGAACGCTGCAGAAAAATGCGCAACTGAAATAACGGTTGTCGAAAACCGAAAATACAAGCATCAGTCGCAACGTATGGCCTCAGTCCCTTATATGGCATAATCAGCGTGCCGTCACATTTGATGACCATTGTCTTACGCTTCGGTGTTTCAAACGGTACTGCTGCTGTGCATTGAATATGGCTATCACTTATAACACATTCAAGCAAGGAAAACAACAAACAACAATCATGAGGACTTGCGCATGTAAATACTAGTAGTGCGACCCGGCGATGCTTGCATTGTTGCCAAGTTCATAAGCGAAAAGCTCACATGTTCACTTTCAGATGAACATATTTGCAATTCCTGAAGTCGTCGGTTACTTAAAGGTACTGCATCGCACGGCTACTAATCCTCGAGGGCAACGTAACACATATTCACCCACAAAATGCGCGTGTTACTTCGTAAGTTAACATTCGGTAAAAACAAAGCTTGAAGTTCCGGACGTCATCGGTTATTTGGAAGTACTGCATCGCACGGCTGGTAATCTGCAAGGGCCAGATAACATACATTTCCTTACAAAAAAATGCACGTATTCAAACGCGGAACGTCGTATCGCAGACCATGTACGCAGTTGATGATTGTCCCCATTTCTTTATTTACGAACAGAAAACCCATATGAGAAATTAAAGAAGACGTAAAAAGGACACTAGCGAAAGCTGCAAGGATATTTATCGACACACTGGTTACCGCCAGCAGTCGGTTTCCTGTATAGCAGCGAAGAAAAAAAAATATATATATCACCAATACTTTTAAGCGTGCCTTTATTTTGCGAGCTACAAGTGTTCATCACTTTCGACGGGGTGCGAGAACGCGTCTGAGAACAACCGGTCGCCAACCACGGACACTGGAACCACGACAGCAGGACACAGTCATGGTAACGTTTCACGGGCTCCCAACAACGGCTACTGCGTTGCAAAAGCGATTCCGCGCACATGATCCCGGGGTAGGCCCGCGACAGGTCTTGGGCGGTTTTCAACGAAGACAGAGGCTAAAAACGAATGGGCAAACGGCAGGAGCGTCAGCAAGCACAGAAGCACCAACGGCAAGCTTGGCTGGACAGATGATGCGCACTGGGCAAGAGTTAGGCCTAAGCAGAACACAAGGCGAGATTGAACGAAAGGCGGGGAACTTGAGACCTTTTTTTTTTTTTTGTGGGCACAAAGTTAATGCACTAACAGGCAGTAAAGGCATGAAAGTGCAGGACATGTCATTTGTCGTTATGATGTACACGTGAAGATATTAAAGTGGACACTAAGACATCTTACCAACGACTGGAACCAATCCAGCAACCTTCGTACACTAACTTTTTCCCGTGTGTATCACGATGACTACAAATGACATGCCCCTTCACTTGCCTTGGCTTGGTCGTATGTTAGTCCGTCATCAAAGTAGTGTCTTATAGGGGTAAGATAGTAATTGCAAATGAGACGTTACGTTACATGTTCTCAAATACGCTCGCAAGGGTTCAGAAATATCGCGCTAACACTACGGCAAACGACTTCTTTAACAAGTACACAAGCATTGGTCATTGAATCAACACAGAACATGGGAAATCGAATTACACTTACGCTCAAATCCCCACATAGGGTGACGTACTCGTTTCATTAATTAACCGTAACTACATTGCCGTGGATCTGGTTGTACGAGCTGGCATACGAACCGCACAACAATGTTATAATCACACCTGACCTGGCGGAACGTTCTGGAGAAGTTAAGGAACTCGCGAGTCAGACAAAGGCGCGGAGTAGTCTTTGAGAAAAGTTGGGAGCCTAACATCCATCACGGACGCGCCACACGGGCAAATTCGGGGAAAACGAATTGCGCGCCAGCGCACTCGCGCCTGAGCGTCGACTAGCCGCAACCATCGAAACCGGAACCAAAACCGGAGGCGTTGACTAGAAAAAAAAATGAGAGAGAGATTGCCGCTCACTCCAAAGTCGGCGAGCACCAAGAAACGAAACCAGCCGTATTGGGGACCTCTACAGCGATAGCTGCGGAGCGCCCTGGGCGGTGGCGCCGCCTAGCTGCAAGTCGCCGCAACGGCAGCCTTCGAACTGCAGCCGGCACTAGAGCTAAAAGCCCGTCCTAAGATGTTCGCGCTCGCACTGTTGGAGCGCGGCGCCAGTAAAACAGCGCGTCAGCTGGTTATACCGCTCACGTGTAGAACGAAACATGGCAATGAACCGCTTCGGTAACTAATGCGTGCTACGGTGGCAACAAAAGCATTCATTCCCCCCACCCACCCACCCCCGTCCTCGCGGGATAGGTCTCTGAAAAACATTAGAAATACTTCCCGTAAAAATAGCGAAATAAAATGGGGGAAATGAAGATGTGAACTGTGCTTAACATACGGCATTGGGTCAAAAGTTGAAGGAGGTTGGAAAAGGGTTTTGCTTTCTCCCTGTCTGTGTCGCCAGAGTGCGGCACGACGCAACCGCTCGGTCGCTACGACGGCGGTTGCAACGCGATTTCCCCACCGCGAACGAAACTGCGTCCGCGCTTTCAGCTCGCGCGGCTGTTGACAGCGCAGGCGTCCGGTGGCTTAGCTGGTCGCGACGATTGCCCTCGTGAATGACGCTTGTTCTCCGAGCGAGAGCTGCCTTCCCTTATCGCACACAAGCTCACACGGAACAATGCCCCGGCGCAATGGCTTTTATTTTTCCTAATCGCGACTCGCACTTCTAGCAAGGCTGGGTGATAAAAAAAATATATGAATGCCTCCGATGCGCTTCTTACTCTGCGAATCTTCTCGACGCGCTCCAGAGTCATTAGGTAACGGTCCCGCAAAGGCGCGCGCAGCGCTGATCGACGCTCGCCACAACGCGCACACATACACACAGTGACGCACGACAAAAACGACACGCACACAAACGACAGCAACGATGACAGCAGCGAAAAACTCACCTTAAACCTGAGAGCATGCAGTGGGCTGACTTCTACCCCCATGCCATAGGCGTCTGGCGTCGAACACGGGATGACGGCCTCACGGCACGGAACTGTGCTGGTCGTCGACTTCGTGGTCGCGTCGACACGTCGTGGCAAACACAGTAGTCCCTCGTTGGTAACACACGAGAATGTTGTCAGTTCACGACCGTCGTCGAGGCCTTACAGGCTGCGACGAACGCTGTGCGCCCTGAAGCAATCGCAGCAGCAGACGACACGCTGATTGGAGGAGCACGCACAGCAGCGGCGGGAATCCCTTCCTGAGCCACACCGGCACCGACAGCGGCTGATCGCCTACTGAAGCAGCGGTCGACGTGAGCGTTGCAGACGACGGGCGCGCGGCCATCCCGTCATGCTTCGCGCGCTGTGGTCACGTTGGGCGCTCGCGACCAATCAGCGCGAGCGGAAGCGCTCGCGGCGGACCCTCGCGGCGATATTTCAGCTCAGAACGCGTTGCGAGGCCTTTTTTCTACGCGGCCATGTCGTTGTTCTGGCGCCGCTGGTGTGGGCGAGGGATGAGGCGCCGAGGCTGAAGGCTGGCTGCTGCCTGCCGCTTGCTGCGAAGGTTGGCAGCAGCGGTGGCGTCGTCGTCCGTGCGCAGGGGCCGACGAGCCTCCTCGGCTTGCTTGCCTGCCTTGCTCGCGCTGGGACAGGCTCCCTGGGCCTCTCCCTCCCGACTCACTCAGCTGGCTGCCTGGCCAGCTTTCCCGCCGCCGGCCCTCTTTTTTTTTTGTTATTATTATTTCCACTCAGCCGGGCGGCGTTCTTTCCTGCCTTGCCGCAAGCGGCCGGTGTGGTGCTGGAAATTTCATTCGAGAATCCATCTTAGTCAGCTTGTTCGGTGTTCCTTTCCCTGTGCCTGTTGGAAGAACTTTGCACACTCAGTTGACAACTTGGTTGACGAGGTCCTTCAAGCGGTCATCGTATGCACAAGTTTAGAGATTTTACTTGAAACTGTCGCAAGCACAAGGAAACCTCGAAACGTCTTCCTGTTTTTTTTTTTTTTCGATGTTCTTAGCTAAGTAAGACGTAGCTCGTTCACGTTGATCCTGACAATGGATTTTGAAGCTCGTATAAAAGATTAACTTTTTCGGCGAACACACGTAGGAACACCAAGCAGCTGCACCCTCTTTCCCCATTTCGCCGAAAATCAGAGTTGTGCTATGACGAGTTGCGCTGCTCACAATTGAGTCTGCTTCGTATCAAATGGCAGGTCAGAAGATTCAGCAAGACTTATGTGATTCTTAAATGATAAAAAAAAAAGTGAGCCCTGTAACTGTCTGCATCAGAGTGCGACACCTGAACAGTAGCTCCCAGGGATGGGGGTAAGGAGGGATTAAGAATGTAGATTAAAAGGTATATATAGAGAGAGCAAGGCGTGGGAACAGCGAGCGACGGAAGTAAAGAGGAGATAGGAAAGATGGACATGGTCGCAGTAGTCCGAGGACGGGGCACCACTCGGCGAGAGCTCTTGTTGGCGTCAGGAGATGGTATAGCCCAGTCGGCCGGAGCTGCGCTGACATCGAAGATCGCGGGGTCACAACCGGTCGGCACCAAATCCTGCGAGCGAGTCCCCCTCAGCAAGACTAGATGCCACAAACAACTGGCAGTAATGTCTCCCAAAAATTTATGGACGCTTCCCTACGTATCCTCACCTTTAGATATGACGTCGCTCTTAGCTAGGTGTAAACTGTGACGTAGAAAGGTTCTTGCTTGCCCACCCTTCGCTGTGACCTATACCTTTGAGCTAATAGCCATGAGCACCTAAGCAGATGATCTACATAAAAAAAAAAATGTTTCGAATATTTTTTTTAGTCTCACGACTTCCGCAGGAATACAAGCTAATTTAGAATGGTCATGGACATGTGCAATAAATAAACGAATTGCTGTGGGCGTATTTCACGTCACCTGAAGTACTAAAACAGTGCATTGTGAAGCGGTGCACTAGTAAGTTTTATGGTAAGAACAACGCTATTCTAAAACATTTTATAATGTTGTTTGTCGTGTTTGTAGCTGTAAGTACGAAACTGTATTAATATTTCTGCTGAAGACCATCTCAGTAGCCGCGCACTTTCCTTTTCAATCCACGAAGGGTCTGTGAAGGCTTAATACTGGATTTTATTGATCTGTACGTGACTCTGCGAATACATCGCTTTCGCACAAAGTTGTGACGTTTTCTCTCTTTTAGAATGATGACGTTATTTTGTTCCAATGAGCAGTTCTTCATATCTTATAGAGTGAAAATGATCTTCAAGACTGTTCTGTTCGTATTTTGCGTTTTATATTCCAGACGATGACCCTCACCTGATATTTGCACGATGCGAAATTCAGAATATCGGCACTAATAGTCACTTTTTCGGAACCAACTTATAGGAAATAATGATAAATACGGAGGTCTTATTTTCCCTTGCATAAGTTACTTTCAAATATAATCTGTTGGTGCCCCGAATCTCAAGTAAACGACTAAAAGATGAAAAGAATGGCTGTGAACTTTCTGCGAATACAGTAAGCCATGTATGGTGTTGTATGCGTTACGCAAAAAAAAAATAATTAAATACGTTGCTCGTTACGTGACAAAAATAAACGCGTTACCGTCCTATGTTACCTCCAAAAATAGAATAGGTAACGCATTACCGTTACCGAAAATTTGGGTGCACGTTAAAAAACCCCAGGTTGTCGAAATTTTCGGAGCCCTCCACTACGGCGTCTCGTAATCATACGGTGGTTTTGGGATGTTAAACCCCCCCCCCCCCCCATATCAATCATTACCATTACCAAAAAATAAGTACCCGACGTTACGCTTGCCATTGCTCCGCAATCACAGGTTTTGACCAAAGTGTCTTTGCTGCAGGAACCCATAATAGGAATTTATTTACATCACCAATTTATGCTTCGCACAAAACTGAACCCTAACGAGTATTATACCCAAATGCTCATTTAACGAGAATCATTTGTACAGATGTACCGGGCCATAAAAAAGATTTCTGTAAAGTTACATGTCATGGCTTACGACAGTGGCACATGGTGAAGCAATATTTTTCTCAAGACATCATACACAATATGACATTCAATTATCGACGCTATATGCAAAAAAGGAGCACTACTTAACTCCCAAAACGTTTACAGTGATACGTCTTTATTTATTTATTTATTTTTATTTGTTTTCGAGTGGGTTACATTTACATTAACAAAGTACACTTATTACTGCATACGGTACTGTATACGTGCAAGTGGTGGCCCGTCCTCGGACTCCTGTGACCGTGTTTCCATCTTTCCTATCTCTCCTATCCCCTCGATATGTCGTCGCTCTCTGGCTTACCACCTCACGCCTTTTTCTCTCTCTCTCTACAGCTTTATTCCTATCCGTTTAGAAATTAGGTGCCTTTTCTCATCTTAACACTACCACCCACCATCCCTTGTGAGCTACTGTTGAGGTGTCGCTCGCTGAAGCAGACAGTTACGGGGCTCACTTTTCTCTTCCTTTCTCTTTTAGAAACCACTTTGTGTTTTCCTGTTCCTAACAGCACCTCTATTGGCGATCTCCGATCGCAAATGGTGGTCTGTGGCCTCCGAAAATGCTCGCTGTGCGCCAGTTGGCAATAGCGGAGTCCTGCATTGGTGCTTTTGTTCGTTTGTTTGTTTGTTCGTTTGTTTGTTTGTTTGTTATGGGGTGGAGAAGAATCTGCATGGCTGTGAGATCATACGTCACTTCGTCCACACCTGTCGTCGTGTTTTGGCTACCAAAAATTATTGTGCATGGCCCGTTGACGCTGCAGGTGAGCTGGTCGCGCCGATTCTCCATGACGGGCGAAATTGCGTTGGTACTTAGAAGTGTGGCAGCTTGGGCTAGTTGGTATGGCATGACGATAGTTATAGCGCGAGAACAAAACGACGACACAGAGACAAGAAGGACACGAAAGACACGAGACATTGGGACCCTCGATCGGCAGCACAACTGTAGATCAGGTGAAGCTACCGGCTGCAGGAATCCACAAAATGCCGCTCGTAGTAACTGACTTCTAAGTGAACGACCTCAGTATCTAACGGACAGTTTGCAAAAACCTGCGAAAACGGCTTCACTGTAAGGTTTGTTTTCCAACCAAAAAAACTCGTTCACAGACTGCGTTTCTCGTTCACTGTGTTTTTGCATTGCCCCTTTTCCTCACGAACGACATGTTCTGTGTCGTTTACCATGCGATGGCTTAGGATACCTACGAAGCGGGACAATGGGAATAACACGTTTTGTTGAATGTGTGGTTGAAGAAAAAGAAAAGAAAAAGTCACTATCTTCTGCAGCCCTCGCTAGAGCATGTCTCAGCTCCTTGACGTTTCGTAGTACTCGCGTGCCTTCGCTGGAAAAAAGCACAATGAGCGTGAAAGGCAGTCTGGGATATGTCGCCGCAGGCTTTCGCGCAAGGTATTTCGAACGAAGTGTCACAATCAGCACACCGGCCCATGTGCTTTCCTTTAGGGGCAGCTGGTCTTTCGGACACGGAAAGGCACAGGTGCCAGCAATCCACCCATGGTCGTCAGCAGAGAGGGGGTGGGGTGGTGGGTGGAAAAGCCTCGACCAAGCTAGACCAGTGCTCTCTCTCAGCCACTCTGCAAGACTGGTTTGCAACACCCCAGCCCACCCCCCCCCCCCACCCCAATTACTGAGACGCTCATGAATACACCTGCTACAATACATTTACAGGAAAAAGCAGGTCCTGAGATGGTCCAGGTGGATTCTCCAGCTTCAAGCTTTTCGTGGCAATCGCCCGATCCTCCCCCACAGGTTGTCGGTGGACCGTACAAAATTTCCAAACGCGAATTCCACAAACGAAAGTTATTCCACCCACGCTTTGCGTTCTTTCTTCACACCGGGCAGGTCGACAGCAGTCTGACACTGCGAGTCTTCGACAACGAAGCTCGTCGGGGAGAGTTCTGGGAAAATGCACCTACAAATAGCGAGTAACGTGACATTACACGTTACCGAAAAAAGGTTAGCGTAAGTAGGTTAGCCCTTAGAGTTTAGAGATTGTAACGGATAGTTACCGCAAGTTACCCAAAAATAACACGTTACCGATGACGGAATTACTTGTAACGGTATGAATATGTATTAGTTGAACAATTTGATAAGACATGTCAACTTCACAACTTGTAAAAGGTCGGGTGTTTTTGTCTTCTACTGGATCGCGTAGGCAAAAAATATTCAGCACGGACTTCGTGCTTGTGAGTGATTATGCAAACACACGAGTGAACCTATTGTTTCTGGCATAGTTTAGTTTGAGCAAGAAATAATGCAGGTTTGGGAACGTGGAAAATAAACTGAAGCAAAACTACGACTCGACCTAGTTGGAACATATCCATCTTGAAATTTCTGTGCAAGCGCGCAGGGACACAAAAAGGAAGACAAACGGGCGCTATCTAACAACTGGTTTATTGTTCGAGAAACATTCACTTTATACCCTCGGATCTGCGCTCTCTGATCACCAAAAAACACACACACACAAATGCATTGCGCAAATATCACAAATAACGATAACAAGTTCGTTGATTAACAGACATGGGTGAAATTTCTTTCTCTAGTAAGGCTGCCGATGGGTGGCTAACACACTGAAAATATTCCCTCACCAAACCTGAAAGTATTCCCTCAGAAGTAGGAGACCTTTGCAAAAAAGACGATAGGCGGAAAAATGACAGGAATGTAGACAGGTGGATCAGAGAACCAATATTGGTAGCCAATGTCCAAGTTCAGATTAATAAAGAGAGACAGGAATTTTGGCAGGTCGCAACATTAGGACAAGTAAGCGATGGTCATGTAGAGTGAAGGAAAAAATAACAAGACATTGAAAGCATGGCCGATGACGGGAATAGGTTGCGTGAAGCTAACATTAGGAAATTCGGAGGAACAACATGCAATATCATCTCGCACAGGTCACAGTGATGTTGGAGGACCTTTGGACAATGACGTCACACCGCGGTGCTTGCAACACTCACAACAAAACATGTGATTAATGGTTGCTTGCAAAATTCAATGGAATGGGAGTAAGTTGGGAATTCAGTTTAACGGGGAAGAACAGTTCGTGTTAGTCCCTTGCTGTGGTGCATCATCATGATGGCATTCCAAGGTGCGGAAAGGTGCATATCGGCTCCGTCGAAAAATATGAGGCTTTCATATTCGAGCAGTGTATTTGCCTCATCATGTTTTACCTGTGTACACAGTAAATAGAGTTCCAACAGTTCCAAGGCACAGAACGCGGTTACATCTAACAAAGGCTGGGCGTCGGACACCGCACAAGTGTACACTCTTGTGTTCTTCTGCCATGAGGAAAGTAGAACTATGGCGGAGATTAAAGAAATGTCTTTATCCGGAGAGCTTCAACACTCGGTGAGAAAAGCGTCGCTTATGCTCCATAACACTCCTTCCTGATACACTGCATGGACTCCTCCCGACAAGCGCTGAAACATCCAATCCGATCAATTACAATACAAAGATATGTACAATTCCGCAGGTAGTGCATATTGTGCATGAAACAGGCCGGTGTCTTTGAGGAAACGCAATGGCGCTTTCGTTACCTTTGGGAACTGGGATGGGCAGCGCCATGGTCTCAATACATTCTTGACAGGGAAATCACTTCTATCCATTAAGGCTGCAGTCAACTATGGGAGGTATAGTCTGACAGGCCATGCCACTCCGCCACCTCTCTGGCTTTTCTTCCCCGAAGCTAGAATGCTCCGAAAATGACCGGACTAGCTGTGCTCTGCTAGTGATAAATGCAAACATCAACTTTAACTAAGGTTACAGTAAGACAGCAAGTTGGGCCAGTTGGTTGGGATCCATCGTTGGGATCTCTTTTGCCCCTTCCCTGTCCTGTGTTTCTGGTGTTGCGCGGTAAAGAAGTTCATGTTAGCTAAGGTTTGTGAGATTCAAAGGGACGTTGCGACCGGCCTTTACAGGCACCGGATATCCGGGATGAAGATGTCGAGACAGGAGGAAGGTGAACTTAACACAGGATTGATTTACACATTCTGTACCTGATGAGCCTTCTAGAGTGAGCCACCCGGCTCATTATAAAGGGTACGTCCTCCCCAAACATCTGGATCGGAGAACGCGTGTCACACACAACTTGAGATCGCGTGTCACACAACTTGAGGGGGTGACGCCCACACGCGCCCATGTAAACGTCCACCATCAAGGCGTGGTCACTGCACTTCGATGTGGCACCGACGAGGCTCTTCGTTGTCTTCGTTGGCGTGTGTGCGCCGCTGGGCGAGGAGTCCCAAGCTCACGGCAGCATACATCAAAAGGGCCGCCGCAAGAAAGCTCAAAAGGGTCCTCGGAACTGCTCGCGGGGCGTGTTGCGGTTACCGCCGCTGTCTCTTCCCAGGAAGATGTTACGTCCGCGGAAACCATTCCGGGGAACTGTTTACGGCAGCTGACGGCCGGGCACCTCGCTTTTTCCGGTTAGCAGTAGAGGTACTGTATATGCTATAGCACATACAGTAACTCTAGTTAGCAGGGACAATACATGGCCAACATCAGGCCGCCAGCGCTTCGACGACTTCTTGGACTTCGCTTGCTGGATTCCGTGCCGACCGGTTGTGCGCGCGATCTCCGGCGTCAGCGTAGCTCTGACCGACTGGGCTCGCCCTACGTCACCTCCTGACGCCGACGACCTTCGATGACTGTGTAGCTCTGACTTACTGGACTTGCTCTACGCCATCTACCGACGCCAACAAGAGCTCTCGCAAGTGTGCCCCGTCCTCGGACTCCAGTGACCGTGCTTCCATCTTTCCTACCTCTCCTATCCCCTCAGTTTGTTGTCGCTTCTTCTTCCTCTTTTCTACACCTTTACTCCCACCCTTTTTATCCCTCCTCACCCCCATCCCTTGTGAGCTACTGTGGCGGTGTCGCTCACTGAAGCAGACAATAACGGGGCTCACTTTTCTCTTCCTTTCTCTCTCTTAAGAATCACTCATTCGACGACTTCTTTGACGAAGAAAGAACGCCGCTCCCTCGTCGCCCAGGCGCCGGTCGTAACAGTGACCCAATACCCGATCAGACCGCGCTTCCGAAATTGAAGGCAGCTTGCGATGTTTGCATAGCAAAAGCTATACAACTCGAACTCCGACTGAGAGACTCTGACTGCACACACACATAGCTCGACCATGGCTCGGATTAGGCAATAGACTGGGACATTCAGTAATCCAAAACGGGTATTGACAGGAAGAAATGGAAACGGGCGAATCAAATATCGGTGTAGCGCTCCGTTACTGTGATATTCTATTATCTTATCAAAACTTATTGATGACTACAAGACCCATTCGTAGCACTCTTACAACCCCCCCCCCCTTTCCCTTTCGGAGAACGAGCTTTAACCATGCAGGGAGCAAGCGGCGGGAAAGGAACTTCGCAGCGCTGGTGCACTGAAGCTCGATTTAATCGGCGATGCCTGGTGGGAGTTGAAAGCTGCGCGGCGTGCTACCGGGCGTCCAATCGCGCTGAATGACAAATGATGTGTGGTTTGTGCACGCACGGCATCGGTATTCGAGGGGGTGTAACGGGCCTCTCTCGCGTAGTGGGAGAGGGTTCTTTGAAGGTTCCGAGGGAGTCGTATATACCAACAGGAGGGGCAGGGCTCTCATTTCCTCGGTGGAAGCTGCAGCGACTGTCTCGACCGCTGCGCTTGTCGATGACTACGTGTCGAGAGCGGAGACGTCCCTTTACTCGCGCCTCCACCGTGCGGACCCACTGCTGCAGCCTCATCTCGCTCATTACAGGTGGGCGGCGCCGTCATCATCGCTGTTAGCTACCGTCATGAATGTTGAGCTCTCTTATTATGCCACGATTATTTATCGCTGCTCCGAACAGCCTGCCACCTCCCCTCCTCTCATCTTCTGGATGGGGGTAATTGAGAGGGGGCCACGACGCGGCCGCTTACGTCGTGGTGTTGCTGTCGATATCTTCATCGGTAGCGCCAGCGGGGCACGCGCCTTGCGGGCGGTGCACTGGAGATGGTAATAGTCGGGGGCTAAATCACTTAAACCGGCGCTGGTGGCCATCGCATCGCACTTTCGCGCGTTGGTGGTTCGTTTGTCGGGAAGGAAAGTACCCTATAGAAGTGTGAATGTTCCGGGTTAGCTAAGAGGAGGAAGCAACAAAAGGGAGAAGGCAGGGAGCTAAACCAGAAAGACATCCGGTTGGCTACCCTACACTGGGGGATTAGGGAAGGGGACAAGATAGCTGGAAACACATGAAAACCTGTGGGCCAACGTTGCTGCGGAACGATTGTTTGTTTGTTGTTGCTTCTTCTTCCTCTTTTCTATACCTTTACTCCTTACTTTTATATCCCTCCTCACCCCCATCCCTTGTGAGCCATGTGGCGGTGTCGCTCACTGAAGCAGACAATAACGGGGCTCACTTTTCTCTTCCTTTCTCTTTCTTAAGAACCACTACGCGGAACGATGGGCTAACAAACTTCACGTTGAAAGACGCGGCCGTGTTGAAGTACAAAGCAAAGGCGGTAACCGATGCATGGGCGTACAATGTGCTGCCTAGGTTTTATGAACGATAACGAAGTGTATCGCTCACACGCTCAGAGGTCCGCATTCAAACAGCCTTAGCCGGCATTAATCCTTTTCATACAACCCTTATAACACGTCGTGATTGGAGCAGCAGTACACGCAAAAGAATAACAACTGAATTTTAGAATTTTGCAGGTGCGTGACGCTCTCGTATCGCATAAATGCGCATTTTGAATCGGAAGGTACAAACTTCAAATAACGTTTTAGCAGGTATTGGGGCTGTTATTTCCGAACTTGTCTTTTATAATTACCATCTCAGATGCGCAGTGTGCAGCTGTTAACTAGTCTGAGGTATCGAGTACTGGAAGTACATGCGTAGTTAAAGCACCGCAACTGAGTGCATTTTCTTCTCCGAAGTGCCCGACGACCGCTTCAAAATTCGGTACCGTCGGACAAGCGGGTCTTCATATCTTCAGTCTCGACAGCTGATTCTGAATAAAGCGTGCTGTGAGCTGACACCACATGGTTTTTTCGGCAAGAATGACTCCAAATGGTCTTTGTTCTCACGCGTCTAGCAAAGAAATTATATTGCAGTAATAAGAGGAGGAGGAGGAGGAATAAATGAGGAAGGACAGGGAGGTTAGCCAGTTCTCAGACCGGCTGGCTACCCTGTACTGGGGAAGGGGGTAAGGGGGATAAAGGATGAGAGAAAAGAGACGTTGTAAAAAAAAAAGAGAGAAGGTCATCAGACGATCCACGACGCTGTTTACAGTCTGTCTCTAAGACCACTTGCCCGCAGAAAGCGCAACAACGCTCTCAGTGCCTTGCGTGCAGAGGACGGTCTCGGTCATTGCAGTAATAATGTTTCCGTTGTTTTATAGGGCTTAACGTCCAAAAGAAACTCAGCCTATGAGACATTCTGTAGTGGAGGGCTGCGCATAATTTAGGTCACGTAGAGTTCTGTGATATGTGCCGAAATTGCACAGCATACGGTCCTCCAGCTTTTTGCATTCATATAAACGCGAGCCCGACCATGGCATCCGGGGTCGAACCTGGAGCGTTCAGCATAGTAGCTTTGCACCGTAACCATTAAGCCATTGTGGCATCACCCAATCACCCCCCCCCCCCCACACACACACACACTTGGATTCACCACTCATGGTCACCCGGTCAAGAAACCTCCTCACAATCATCATCATTATCATCCTTTTCAGACTATATTATGGCCATTGCAAGTGGCAGGCCTCTCCCGATGACATCCAATGTACATGTACTGTGTGAACTGGTCCCGCCTCCTTTGTGCCTGCAAACATCCTGAGTTGCTCACTCTATCTTCTGCCATCCTCAGTAACCTCTCTCCTCGCATGGTATCTTGACCGTCGCTGTCAGTGACCAGAGGTTATCAGCCTTTCGGTGGTCCTTCGCCACTTGCGACCTTCCCAGGTTTCCTTTTTTCATTATTAAAGTCTGCTATAATGACGACTACTCTACCTGTTTAATAATGACTCAAATGACTCATAACCAACAATCGCATGTAAGCACGCCCGTTCGTTTTTTTTTTTCGTTTCAATCATGCGACATGATTAGATATGCGAAAACTGGCACTTGCACATCACAATACCATAGGGTGACAGTACAGCAGTCATTCTTTTGCACCTCTTTCAACATCGTCAGTATAACAGTATTGTACATGAACGTTTGCGGCACATAATGTGTACAATCGCAAATGTGTCCGTCATTCAGTTGCATGAATTCCCGTCACGTTGGACACATCGTATCTTCAGTTAATGGAGCACTTTAACTGCGCGTGGTAAGCAGCGTGCTTCTGTGCGCGAGTATTTTTTTTTATATATGGGGTTCAGGAGATAATGCTGCCTTCAAAAAGACTCGATTGTAAACACATTCCAAGCGATTTATATTTCTCACTCGTACATACCCATCATCATCGTTCCCTCTCGTTGGCGTTCTGAGCCGAGGGAGACGTCGCGGAATGAACGCTCCTGCTCGCCCTGCCTGGTGAAGTCTGCGTGCGTCTTTGAGAGTGGTAGAAGGGCGGTGTGATATCCCGACATCCTCCTG